CCGCGGGATGAATCCGCGCCCCGGTGCCTCTGCCGGGGAAGGAGGCGCTTGCGGGGCGCTGCTCTGCAGAGGCACCGGGGCGCGGATTCATCCCGCGGGAGAGGCACTCTGCACACGCCCAGAGGCCCTTCTCCCGGGGCGGGCCCCACGGAGCGCCCCGCACGACCGGGCCGGAGCGGCGCTTGCGCAGTGTCCGCAGCGGGAGCGGAGGCGCGGCTCTCTCTGCGGGGCTGCGGCGCTTGGTGGGGCCGGGCCGGGCCGGCGAGCGGGGGCGCCGTGGGGGCTGCCCGGCGGCCGCGGGGCGCCACCCGTGGGCTCCGCCGCTGAGCCCTGCTGCGTGGCGGGTGGGGAGAGAGCCCTGCAAGGGGGCTGCTCTGCCGGTGGGGCGGCCCTGGCCTGGCCTGGCCTGGGGTCGTGTGGGCGCGGCCAGAGGGCAGGGTGGCTCCTCGAGTCGGCCGTGGCCCGTGCCCTGCCCAGCCTGCCCCGGTGGCACCGAGGACCGGCGAGGGTCTCGGGCAGCCCCCTGCAGAACATGGGGCGCCAGCCCCATCTGGAGCTTAGCAGGGCACGAAAGCCGGGGAGGGGGGTGACGGAGGTTTGCACATCCACACCGGGGAGGCCTCCCCGTCACCTGCGTGCCCGCCAGCAGGCCTTGTTCCAGGAGCGGAGCCCTGCAATGACGCACAGCCCCCCCCCCCCCCGCCAGAGAGGAAAGCCCAGGCCGCCGGTACCGGAGTGCAGGACACGGAATCAGTAGCTCAAGTGGTGACGGCCCCGGTCCAGGCGAGAGAGCGGGAGACGCTACCTCCCTGTCAGAGCAGTGCCACAGTGGAAGCGGCTGCCGGGACAGGCGGTGGGCTCTCCCACACTGGGGACATTCGGGGTCAAACTGGACAGCCACTGGGGTGCGGTGGGGGGAACTGGTCTCCTGCAGCAGCAGGGGGTTGGCCCCTTCCAACCTACCCATCCTGTGGTCCTGTGGAGCAGAGTTAGTCCCTGGATCAGCCTGGCCGGCAGCCCTTCCACCGAGGGACGAGTCCGGGCTGGGGAGTTTTCTCCTCCCCCCTCTTCCGAATCCACTCAGAGGCGGCCCCATGTAGAGCTTGCTTGGGTTGTCTAAAGAACATAAGATTTGCATGTGCTTCAGAGTGTGCACAGGTTTGCGTGCATTTTTTGCAGCCGTACAGTCTTGGTACCCATGTATACATTAAGTGTCTTTGCACACATGTGCCATGCCTACACATTTGTCCCATTCCCCCCCCCCCCCCGCAGGAGGGATGTCCCGGAAGGCAAAGGCAGATGCCTGCAGCCCCCGCTCTGCACGGTTCCCATGACCTGGTGGCACTGCAGCAGTCAGGACAGAGAGACGGCAGGCTCCCCGGATGCTCGGCACTGCCAACTCACATGGTGCCAATTCGTTTGGTCGGTGTTGGCACAGAGACCAAGTAATACCGGTTTTGCTAATCCTCTCGGGGATGCTTCATCGGTCCCGTAAGCTGCCTGGGTGGAGCCGCTGGCGAGCGCGGCCGAGCTGATTCTCCTGACCGGCGCACACTGCGGATGGGCCGCCTGCCCCATGGCAGCCTCCCCGGAGCAAGGCGGGCACCCCCCACCTGCAGCCGCAGGAGGAGCTGTGCCTCCACCGCGCATCAGGAGCGCCCGCCCAGGCACATAAGGGGGCCCACCCGCTGCCCGTGCCGGCATCGCCGCCCGTCCCTGTGGGGGGAGCTCTGGCACCGGCCCTGGCGGAGTCCCATGGGGGAGAGACATGGGGGGCGCCACCGTGCTTTGCTGAACGAGGGGAGGAGGCCGAAGTGGTGAGTCCCGGCCGGATCAGGCTCTTCCCAGGTGACGGGGAGCAAGGGCCGCTCCCTGGAGGCAGGCATCCCGCTCGGGCCCCACTCCGCCGGAGCCATGAGGGGCGGGGTGGATGCCATTCATGCAGGGCTCTGAAAAACGAGGGAGAGGAAGCCCAGAAGCAGCTGGGTGCTTCGTAAGAGGAAACGTTTCCTTGTTAAACGAGGGAGCCTGTGGAAAGCGTTCGCCAAATGGGAAGCGCTGTAGAAAGCGCAGCTCTGAGCTGGTAATTACTGGTCTGACTGGCAGGAGGAGGCGGGCGCGCGTGGGTGGGAGGCAGCAATGCTAGGGATGGTCCTCGGGCGCCCGGCCGGCCTGCTCTCCGTTGGCCCCAATCTTCCGCACTTCCTGCGTGGCTGCCCAGGCAGGCCGGCCGGCCAGCTGGGGACTTGCTCCAGAGCTTCCTTGCTTCCTGTGCCCGGCTTGTGCCGACACCTGCAGGTTTTGGAGATGGAGGTGGGTGTTCCTGGGAGGCAGAGCATGATCCCCCCCCACACGATTGCAGTCGCTCCCTTTTTCCTGTCTGGGTTGCAACTGAAGGCTTGCGATTTGGCTGCCTTTGCTCTCGCTGTCCCAGTGGGAGGTCATCTGAGCATAAGGGCGTAGAGGAGCCTGCGGGGTCACACCGCGGCCCGTCCCAGTCCCGTGTTCCGTCCCTGGGGGCCAGCCAGCTGCCCACAGGAGCAGGGCACGGGAGTCGTGGGCCCCCGCTGCCCTGGCGCCCCGCAGCTGGGGTGCACGGGTACCCCCCTCTGAGCCCAGAGGTGGTGCTCAGCCGGCAGGGCTAGTGGCCCTGGACGGCCATCTCCTCCCTGAGCTTGCCCAGGTGCCCACCCTGTCCTGGAGTGGGTCACCCCCCCAAGACACGGGTCCCCGATGCAGGGCCCGTGGGCACCTCCAGCGATGCCCACACAACTCTCACACCCTGCCCTCTGCAGGCCCCTTTTTAGTAAATGGGAAAGAGCTTGGAAGGCAGACAGGAAGCGAAGCAAAGTGAGAGCGGAAGAGAAGGAGCAAGGCTGGCAGCAGGGCGGAACAGCAGGGGAAGGGAGGCTGGGGAGGAAAGGCAAGGCCCGGGGCCCGGAAGCGGGAGGAACTGCGAGGGAAAGCACGAGGCGGGAGGCTGGGAGCAGAGAGTCTCAGAAGGGCCTGTGTGGGGCAGGCCGGAGCTGCTCCCTCCCTCCCAGCCACTGCCCCCACCGGCTGCTTAGCACTGCACTATAAAAGGCATTTCAGAAACAGAAACAGCGAGTCAGGAGGGGTTCTGGGTCATCTAGTCTGACCCTCAGCTCCGGTCATGGAATCCCCGGGATGGACAATCTTGCCTCGTCCAGGCTCTAGCAGGAGTTCTGTTAAGGGACCGGGAACCGTCATGGCACATGGGGCTGGCTGCCGTGCGACGAAAGGATGGGAGGCTGCTCTTCAGCAGCCCACGGCATGCGCTTAATCCGCAGCTGCTTTAGGAGTAACGCGAGTTGCATAACTTTGCTTCCTTGGGACAAGTTTAATCGCATGCATGCTTGGTTGCCAAGGAGCGACCTGGCAAAGGACAGGCCCAGGATGCGGATGAGGAGCTGCGCCTCGGGGAAGCCAGGACAATCTGTGTGTGCAGATGTGCAAGGGAGGGAAGGGGCAGGAGCGGGGAAGGACGGGGACTGGGGCTTCACTCCCCACCTGTGAGATCCAGGTAAGTG